TTGCGGAAAAAAAAAATATATATATATGCATATAATATATATAGTAATTCAAGATTGAATTATTTAAGCATTGAAAATCTTCGATTGTTATAGACATTTAATTTCTAGTATTGATTGTGTTCTCACATATGCGGTCTAAAAAATAAAGATTCTTAATATTGTTTACATAAAAAGTATTTTAATTTCTAATTGAATTTTTTTAATAAATGCTTATAAATAAAATAATATTTAAAAAATAATAAAAATGAGAAATATTTCTATTATATGATTGTAGAGTACAACCGAATACATCGTTTTCGCGGCGATGTCGAAGCTGATCGCTGCAGCGTCGACATACCCTTATCAAGTAGTGAGAGCACGACTTCAGGATCATCATCACGATTATCGGGGTACCTGGCATTGCATTCAATGCACATGGAGGTCAGAAGGGATTAAGGGTTTCTATAAAGGCTTATCACCATACCTTTTACATGTTACACCAAACATATGTCTGATTATTCTTATTTACGAGCATTTTACTAACGGTAGTTAATTTACATTGATACCTTATTGTTGCAAAAGTAAGAAAACTTTTTAGGCAATTTTTTTTTAATCTTATTTATCTAATGCGTATATCTCCCGATTTACTAAAACTTATGATGAAAGGCATTCATTTTTGAGTTTTGATACGCAGAATACGTGTATGATCTTTGAACGATGTGAGGTCATAGTACTCAATTTTTTTTCTTTAAATATAGATGAATGTTATGCATTACGTATCATTCAAATAGATTACAGTACCGAATTATTTTTGCTTTTTATATAAGAAAGCTTTTTACGAAATTATTTTTATCTGAAGTATTTTTGGAAAATTCGGAGGATGGTTGAAATGATTATTAGCAATTTTTATCCTATCCTGTTGTAGATGATATGTAGGTAATATTTAGGTAATTTTTTTTCTGATATTCATAAAGTGAATGCAGATATTTTCTATTATTTGTATTTCTATTAATTTATATTAGGTTTCATACAGAAGAAATCACTCTCTCTCTTGATGTGGGAAAATCATTGATTTTATTATTGCCGTTTTAACTTCTCACATAAATTATAATGCGACGATTAAAAACTGAGAAATAGATCTTGAAATGGCAATAGTTTGTGGCGCACGTATAGTACGCAGCATGTATGTGTTTTATTTATTCAACCACTCATCCTGTCTTATCCAAGTACACTGAGAGACTGCGATAATGTAAAATGAATAACATTATTTCTCGACGCGACGAATGTGTTTAATTTATATTGGAATTTGTGGTTAGTTGACGTATGTAAGGATAGTTTTGTTATAACGAAAATGTATTTTAAATGAAATATCTTCTCATTATACAAAGTACACCATCACAAATGAACGTATGAATATGATCATCTTTTCTTTGCTGAGGTGTATAGGTATCTGAGTGTCAACTAAACTGGATTTAGTTGAACAAACCTAGATAGATGTGCTTGGTTGCGCGTATGGTGATGCGAAAGGAAACGCGCGCGCGAGGAGAGTAATACGTCTTATACTATTCTCTTATAGTATAAGATACTTAATGCTCTATTCGAATACAAGAGCTGTAAGAAAAAATACATCCGATTCCCGTCGATAGACGGTGTAATTTTGGATAGTTAAATTAATAACCAAATATTTACATAACTATACGAATAACACACACGATATGCTTATTATCTGTGTAACTTTCGAACAATTTTTGACGCATAATGTGTATGAACCACATGTGTAATTTCCGTGTCTTCGCTTAACAAGTTTCAGTGCGGACTAAACATCGCTTAATTTAGCGATTTATCTTTTTAAGTTTTAAGGCTCCTGAGTAGTTGCCGCGGCCATGTTGGAATCGTGACATCAGAAGCGAGGAATGACGTTAATTTATTGTGTCATTTGTAAGTAAAGACAATTTGAACAAATCTAAATTACGAGATCGCTTTAAAACATTTGTAAAAATCGACGAAAACTGCCCTTTCTTCCCTTGACAGTCTGTAAATGGTCGTAAAAGGCACGTAAAGTGAGCCTATACTCGAGCAGAAACACTGGTCTGACAGCTGTTGAAACGAGTGAAAAATACGCTTTTTCATATAAAATCAGATAGTTTTCGTCGATAAGTACGAGATAAGTTACAATTAAGCAAATAATAATGGAACACAAATTTCGTTGTCAAAACGTCATTTTTCCACGCCTATAAGTTTAGCTATTTATCATGACGAGGCGCTGTAACACACACACGAATACGAGCCTATGTACATATGCTCGTTTTCGGCGCGCCGAGAGCACATATATGTACCTGGGTTTGTGCTTGTGTGTATGACTACCGGTTTCGCCAGACCACCGTCTGATTCTGTGTCGCTACCGTCAACACAGAGTAGTGTTCCTATTACAGGAACACTAACGCAGAGTTCTTGGCTGAGTACTCAGGAGCCTTAAGAAATAGAGTAAATTCGCTACATTTTACTTTCTCCCTTTTTTTTATTTTATGAAGCGACTCTATTCCTCTGTAGCCAATACTTACCTCATTTTAAGTGGAGTCTATAGAGTCCGTAATAGATCAATTTTGCAAGGATCGTAGAGTCTGGCACTCGGAACATATGATCGATAGCAATAAGTTTTCTCACTGCAATCTGTAAATAGTAGGACAAATTTATTTATATTCATTTTCTTTAGCCGTTAATCTAGCTCGAATCTTTCTTTGGAGAAAAGAGAGTCATGGGAACGAAAGCGAAGAAGTATACTTAAAACAATATTGTGACGATATTAATAAACACACGCACACATATCGAAAAGTGTTTGTTATTAAATTAATTATTAATTATTTTAGATTATTCAACTTATGTTATTCAATTTTTACCTAATTTGATATCTTCTTGTTTCTAATATTTACTAATTAATACCTTATTTACAGCGCAAAGGACAGAAGAATGTCATCATTGTTTAATTATGAATTAACTAATTTAGATATATATTTTCAGATATATTTTGCATTAAAATTTTTATCGTCTTATGTTTAGAATAAATAGCATGTAGAAAGGTATTGTGATTGAATAATTATCGAGTATGTTGTGATTTGTTTATTAAGCCACCAGCAGTACGATTTTTGAACGTATTACATATGGATATGTCGGATATACATATATTGTGTCTGAATTAATTAAATTCGAATTTTTAATTAAAGAATGAAATAAGAAGAAAAATTCGATTTTACTGCTTCGAATTTGTACGCGTTTAATCGTTTGTTTGTTTAAATCACAGATTTTATGATTGATATTGATAGAAAATAGATATTACTTCTAATGATTCTAATGATTGATAATTTAAAACTCTTAAAGCGAAAAGAGAGTTATAATGTTTCTCAATTGAATTTTTATAGTAAATTTGATGTAGCGTCAAGAATCGTACGCGGGTTAAATTTAATAACGTTTTAAAATTCTTCGCGTTTTTAATCTATTATAAAGCAAAGTAAAACAAAGGCGTATTGCTGGTGGTTCGTTACAGGTATGAGAGTTGGAATGGCTTTTACAAGGGTTTAAGCGTTAACCTCGCCAGAGTGACCCCGGCTACAGTTATCACGTTTGTGGTCTACGAAAATATGCGTCATTATCTGCAATCCAGGCGTGCCACCGCGGAACAAGTGATCGCTGTACCTGTGATTAGCAAACTGAAGGAGTAAGGTAAAACCAGGGAATCTCTCGGAGCTTTACTAAAATACACCGGTGTAATCCGGAGCTGTTCGGAGTCGTATGAATGCATATAGTCGTTTGACAACATGTGGACCGAAATCAGTGATTACTATTTAAACGACGAATTCTATTGTCAAGAAAAGACTCGAGATACAAGTCTCAGAAAATAATGATTTAAATTTCTCGCTAATATCCAAAGAGACTGAAATTTATTTACGAAAGGTTGCAAGCATTAGAAATAATAATTTTAAAAAAGCTCATTACTTGTTTATTTAATATTTTTATCGGAAAGGATAATACTGCTCATAACAATTTTAAATCTTGTATAAATAATTTTTAAATATCTTTCTGAATGCTACATTTTATTTTGTATTTATAATAATTATTTAAAATCTTATATTAGTTTTCTGTAAGAATATCCTGACAGAAAAACTTTAATAGATTAGAAGATTTCTAATGTTATAGTGGCCTGAGTAAATCATTCTCGGATTAAAACAAGAATTGTAAGTAATTAGTAAAGGAAAGTACAAATGATAGTTTTCGAGTGCTTGTTTGAAACGTATCAATACGTATAATAGGGATTTTTCGCATTGATTGCAT